GTACTTAACGAGACAATAATAATTGACAATAATTTCTCATTAAATTTCATTTATTTTGCGAATGTTTTCACTGCATCAATTATTATGAATAAATAGCGGCCAATGTGCAACAACCATTTTTTTTTGACCGGTTAAAATAGCTCGAAATATCAATTGCCGTAATTCTTCGGATGTTTAGATTTTCCATTTCAACTTTACGTTCTATCAAGAAAAATTGAATAAATATCGCATCGTTACTAACATTATTTAAACCTATAAATTTTCAAATGATTCACATATTGTCTCAGACTTAATATACAATAAAAGCTCCTTACGCGCTTCCTTTATTCCCATATTCGCGGCAATAGATTTCTTTATTCGCGGATCTAACAGCTATTTATTATAACTGGTTCTGAAACTTTTTTGTTTTGGAAGTTGAAAGTACGAGATATACTTTAAAAAAATTTAGACTGTGAAGCAGATCTATTTTCGGATAACTCACCAGGTCAACCTCGCGAACTTGAAATTATGCATCCAAATATAAAAGTGACATTTTTTCCTTCCATTATGACGGCTTGTTTCAACTTATGCAGCAAGGGATAATCCAGGCTCTATTACATTAGATCAACTTTCAAAATCATATTGAATAATATGGAATGTGATCCTGATATGAATGTTATGGAATGCTGGAAAGGATTTTGACATAGCAAAATGCATAGTAAACATAAAAGAATCAGTATAAGAATTGACGCCGTACTCGTACACTTTGAATTCATGCTGCAAAAAACTGTGCCCTACTCTGACTGCGGAAAATGACGAAGAATCTCTGCGTAACAAACTTTGACTGCAAACATTATAGCTGCAATTGCGAATGGAATAGGACGACATGGGTTCAAACAAATAGAATCAAGTAACATTCAGATGTTGCTTAAATCGCACGATGAAGATTTGACTGAAACTGATATGGAGAAAATGATAAATTCACAGCTTATTGGGAAAGAAGCTTCAACGAGCACAGGAAACGTGATATTCAATTTGAAAATTCTTAGTGAAGGTGTAAGAAGGCTAATAAGAATTGTGTTTTCATTTATGAAAATAGATTCGTCTTTGGAACGAAGTCTTATTTTAAAGGCAAATTACTAGAGTCATTGCTTAATATCAGTCTAAATTGAAGAAACCTTAAACTGCCAAGGAACAATAAATTACAAAATTTTTTAAACCATTGCCTAAGTCTGAACATAACAATAATTAATCAATATGATCAAAAACTTCACTCAAAGTAATTTTTTTATATCCTTTTTTCATTTTGCCCCCAGGAACGTATCCCCTATAATCTCATATAAATTACCATTCCATATTCACGGCATATTTTCGGAACAGCTTTTACTGTATTTTTTACAAAAAATTGATGCTGAAAATACATATTTTTCGATCGATCGATTTCAAGTGGGCACAATTAGCATTTTGTGGAATATTGGAATTATTGACCGGTGATCATAAAATTCACAAGTACCTACCTACGGACTTTTTTTAACAGCTTAAATATGGGAAATTAAATTTTTAATTTGGATTTTGAAAAATTCGGATTATTGATCAGAAATAATAAAGTCTTCAACTCTATAACGATCGAAACGGAAATAGATTCGTCTTTGGAACGAAGTCTTATTATTTTAAAGGCAAATTTCTGAAGGCATTGCTTAATATCAGTCCGAATTGAAGGAACAAAAAATTATATTATTTTTTCAACCATTGACCAAGTCTGAACATAATAATTAATCAATATAATCAAAAAATTTATTTAAATTAATTTTTTTATATCCTTTTTTTCATTTTGCCCTCCAGGAACGTACCCCTATAATCTCATATAAATTAGTATTCCATATTCACGGCATAGTTTCGGAACGTATACGCAGCGAATAAAGAGTTTTTACTGTATTTGTTACAAAAAAATGTTGCTGAAAATACATATTTTTCGATCGATCGATCGATTTCAGTGGGCACAATTAGCATTTTGTGGAATATTGGAAGTATTGACCGGTTATCATAAATTTCACAAGTACCTACGGACTTTTTTGAACAGCTTAAATATGGGCAATTAAATTTCTTATTTGGATCTCGAAAAATTCGCATTATTGATCGAAAATAAGAAAGTCTCAAACTCTGTAACGATCGAAACAAAAGCACTATAGATATTCGAGTCTACGTCAAGGTTTCCAATTAATAATTGGTATAATCCAAACATCTTCACTTTCTTCTCGCACACCGCAGCTATACCAATTATTCATGATCTCCACAAGTAATGCGATTTTATTTGAAAGTTGTGTTTCTCTCTCCGATCGTAACGGTGTACTTGTTTAACAACTGCTATTCAAATCGATAAACACTCGCACGTTTATTGACTGCACGTGACCAAAAACTACCTTGGGTGTTACAATTGATTGCTGAATCCTTATCCAACTCATTTTAAAAATCATTCATTTGATTATTATTTTGGAGGTGTTTTCAATTTATCAAAACATTATATTGAATTGAATTGCCTAGTATTTCAATGAGATTCTTTTTCACCTTTGAAATTGACCATTTCATTGACGCAGTGGAATTTTTTTTTTGATTGTTGAAGTGATCAATGACTCACAATTACGCCACAATTCTTTCACAAATGTACTATCAGTTTGATTCAAAGAAATGTAAATTGAACATTATATAATTGAAATAAAACTAATGAGTTTTCTGATTTTCACTATAATTAATTCGAAACATGACAATATTGTTTCGCCAACACAGTGGCTTCATTAGATGTTGATGATAAACTATTAATAACAGTTTATAATCAACATCTGATGAAGCCACTGTGTTGGCGAAACAATATTGTCATGTTCTGAATTAATTATAGTGAAAATCAGGAAACTACTTAGTTTTTTTTTAATTATGTATTTAATTTTCATCAAGTATCGGCCCAATCGATTAATGATTCAAACATTAGAATTGTTCAATTTACGTACATCTTACCTATATTAGAATTTAATATTTAAATCTAATTTTATGATATCTAATATCGTTCATTCCGACAGGTTTCGATCCGAATCTTTTTATACGTTTCTATATAAATTTTGAGCACAGCTAAATTCCACTAAAAATTTTTCAATTCAACTATTGTACAAGTATTTACTCCCAAAAAGTATGGTATTAGATTACAATTTTTGTGAAATTTCAGCAAGTTGTTTCCAAAGCAAACGAGTTATTAAACTTCTCAATAAAGTTCCTCCAGTTGTTTTACTGGCTGAAGATTAATAGCATCAATTAATCATCAATGTTTAATTGATCATATTATTAATATTATCAATGCTGGTTAGTTATACCTCTAGATCTTATAAGTCAAACAACTTATTCATTCTGGTTGGCTTATCAATCTGTATCTGCCGAAATGAAGTATGAATATGAATAAAATTGGGAAATCAAAATTTCCTACCAATTAACTAATAAGAGTTTTTCATGCTTGCTTAAGTGTTTGTTACTGGTAAACTGATAGTCATACCTAGGAGAAAGTATAGGCAACGTAGGTACTTATATTTTTTCAATTCCCAATATAGTTTCACAATTCAGACTTTTGCTGAATTCTTGCCACTTACAAATGAGGGTCATTTTGAGTTGTCATTTCAAAATTCACCAAAAGTTACTGTTTCAATATTCAAAACCTGTTTGATGATAAAAGTCATTTCTGGCAATTCCCAATGGCCGGAGGAGACTACCCTAATTTTCAAAGAGGGAAGGAAAAAAGATTTAATTTTGTTTTACATGGGGAAATTATTTTGGATAATTTAAAATCTATAAAAAAAAACTTTTTCGTCTCACCTGAACTCTAGAACCTGTTGCCAGAACTCTATAAATATTCTTTAAAAAATAGCTATAACTTTTGTCATTTCAGTAGTCTTAAAATTTGCAGACCATAATGACATTGTACCTGGAAAACGAATTGTATAATGCCAGAAATTATTTATATGACTAACCATCTGCCTGAACTGAAAAGGTTACCACAGAGTGCAAGCGAGATAGGTTGGGTAATATACATTGATTACAAGCCCATTGTACGTTCAAAAACATCGTTAAACTGTAAGTCCACCGAATTGAAAAAAGTGAGATAGTTTTATTGATTTCTACAAGTCAGAAAGAGAGCCTTCATAGACAAAAAATATATATGTCAATTTAGAAATTGAAAGAGATAGTTTATTTTCTACATCAGACAAAAACATTCATACAACATCTTCGTATCGAAGATTATTTCAAAAATTTTTTCAACTGACAAATTGAAACTCCTTCAGGTGTCAGAACATCCCCACGTCTAGAGCACATCTGTGTGACCTTCGAAATATTCAAAATTCGAACAGCTTAGTCACATGAATAGTCTATCTCGCTCGCACTTGTCTGGCAATGTTTTTCGTTCTGGCAGATGATTAGTGATATAAATTTTTTCTGGCATTATACAATTCATTTACCAGATACAGTTTCTTTGTTTCTTGCAAATTTTAAAACTATGGAAATGACTCAAGTTCAGATATTTGTAATAAATATTCAACGCGTTCTGGCACCAATAAGGAGGGACGAAAATTTCTGGCAATTTTTCATTTGAGTTTTGTGAGTGATGATATAACGAAAATGATATAACATAATGAAATCTTTTTTCATACCCTCCTTGAAATTTTAAGGTCGGCTACTCTGGCTATTGGGGATTGCCACAAATGACTATTCATCAAAGAGGTATTGAATAACGAGAAGGTAGATTTGGTGACTTTTGAAATGACAGCTAAAAATTGGCCACTGGCTCTCCTTCTATATTTCATCAGACAAACTTGATTGAATTAAAACTATAGGTCCATGATTATCTTGCCAGTTCAGTTGAGATTTATCAATATATGTATTGTAAAGCATATACATAGTGTCAAAACTCGTCGAGTAACAGATGAGAGTAGATATTTGTAATATCGTATCCTGTAGTACAAAGAACGTGATAATACGCCGCGCCGGTCTCCGTGGCTTAGTCGGCAGAACACCTGACTAAGGTGCGGTCGGGTTCAAGCCCCGCTGAAGGCACGGGTGTTTGTGTTTGTCCATGATTTCAGTAGTTTAAATAATGATATATGCTGGAGGTAATGTACATCGATTGCCCAATGGCCGTTCGAAACCGGCGTTAAACTGCAAGTCCCTGAATTAAAAAAAACGTGATAATACGGATTTCTTTTACTCGGCAACTCGCACGTCTTTGAAGTCAATCTTCAGCACATACATACACCCGAAATAATACGTATAAAATACTACGAACCTACGTTGAGCAACTCAATATGAGCAAGTTTAATGAGCACTGCAATATATTATATGAAAGTAAAATGGGAATTATTATCCAACTTGTGTCCATTAACATATTTTGGCACTTCCGGTAGATCGACAGTCTTACTCGAGCTGGTATCAAACATTCGATTAACGTCATATCTTCAACAATGAAAAATTTGCATGCAATTTCATCAAATTCAATTGTTTTACCATTGCGCCAGACACATTTTGCATTTCACTTTTCAAGATCCAACGATAAGATAAGTATCAATTAGTTAGTACCCGTAATGTCTTTCAATGAACGACATAATAAAACACTTACTTACGAAATATTGTGCTGTTGAGTCTCTTTGAATCACTTCCGTTATCTCATAGATATATGAGGAACTGAATATAACTTAAATTCAAACACTTGAACTTATGATTTACACTTTATTGACTACATAGAATGACGCGTTTCGTGGTTACAAACGACTGTAAGCATCTGAAGAAGTCGTTTGTAACGACGAAACGCGTCATGCTATGTAGTCAATAAAGTGTAAATCATAAGTTCAAGTGTTTGAATTTAAGTTTATATTCAATTATAATGGATTTACATCAAGTAAACGCCAACACTATTAAATATGAGGAACTGTTGTATAGCACATTTCTTCAATCGTTAAAAATGATGTGTTTGGAAATTTCAACTTGTGAAAAAAATGCTGCACACTTTGATAAGTGAAACTTTTTTAGGCATTGACAGAAAGTAATTGAAGAAAAGTAGCAGTTTTATCACACCACTTACAAAGGCTATTATTGTAAGAAAACCCGTATCGTTATTCTTGGCACTGATTAGAATTTTGTATCCATATTGTAACATCAATTGTTAGATGTTCTTTTTTGGCATCTTTAAAAAAACTATACTTGTCCCTTTCATAAATTGACTGTATTGAAAGGGACGCAGTAATTTATGAAAGACACAATACCTAATTTCGAGCAAATGTGTACCTATAATGTGTACAATAACTAACTAGGTATGTTCATAATTGAATATAAAAGTGACTACTATTGTAACTATTGAATTTCATCGTGTTGAGCTGGAGGTTAGATCAACATTATGTCAATTTTAATTTGTATTATAAACAAATTGCCTGTATTAAAAATTAATTCTCTTGAAGCTTTTGTTGGCTAATGATTAATTTTGTCATACGAATCCTACGAAGAGAAAAAAAATTCCATCGTTTTTATTCCAAATAATCATTAAACACTTTTACGTAATTTGAACATAAATCAACAATATTAAAATGTTTTCCTTAGAACATAAAAATTATTCAAATACCTTTTTTGGGACACTTATAAACATTCTCTTTATAATTAACAAGGAACGAAATATATATATGAAATTGAAGACAAATCAACAACGTTATGCATCCGTTTGTCCGTCCCATTCATAAACATTCACCCCATTTTAAACATTTATGTCCCATTTTAAACATAACCACAAATCTACAATAACAAATTAAGTTCAATGACATTATGTTCTCGTATCTGTGGATGTTCAACCTATCTTAACCAGTGATTCACTCATAAAAAAGCCACAACTCTGATGCCATGTTCTGATTGTTTTTTGGTAATTTGAGACAATTGTCAATGAAAAAAAAATTGTCGAAAAAAGGAGAGGAAATTTAGTAAAGTAACTAACCATAGTGACATGTTCAATAATAAGCAGCAGATTAGTCGGACAGATACCAGGAAAACAAAATGAAAGTCGCAAGCTACTAAAATTACTTTAAAACACCCTTATAACTTTAACAAAAATTGTTGTTCAAAGCAAGGGATACAAAAAATTTCATTTCAGTAATTATTTGAAAAATTCAATTCGTTCAATATTATGCCAAGTTACATAGCGGTATGTAAAGAAAACATATGATTTCCACTATTCTTGCGAAGTTCCAGGTACCTACCTGTTACTTAAGAGCTTGCAAAGTAATAATATTTCCCAGATAAAATCGAATATTATTGACATTCCCAAAATAACTAGAGAAAGGCTTTTATCAGAAAAATATTTGATAATAGCTGTAATACACATTCAACATGAGGTTAATTTTAATTTTGAATACGTCTAAATTTTGATTTTTCTTTCTGTTGATTGTTCTTTTTTTATTTTCCTCATAAATTTCCGTGTTCCGAGAATAACTTGTAGAAATATGAACATTTTTATGCACCTCTGGCTCGTACTAATGTTCTGGCTTTTTCTCCACTTCATAAAATTTGTGGTGACTTTGAGCCTTTTCATGACATCATCGACATATTTGCATGCGCACCTGACTGTTTTTTTAAAAGTTTTTAGATATTAGTTTTTCCTGTATCTTGTGGGTGAGCCTTAATGTCAGCTTGACCACAGATTTTTCGCTCATGTGTATTGTTTGTACATTATTGATATTATTTCTTGTTTTATTTTTCATAAGTTGTAAACTATATTGTATTTTCCCACTCAGTAATTGGTCCAAGTTGTTGAGTGGTGTATTTGTAAATAAATAAATAAATAATAAATAAATTAATTCCTCAGAGTATGAGCACTGCTTATCAATAGTTGTAAAGAAACTGTGTGTCTTTAACTAAAATGTAAATCGCCCATGCAAAAAGTGTATACTACTGGTATACTGGTATACACCATGTAGTCGATCGGTTTTTGGTTGTGTAGTTTCAGATGTGTTACCTAATAGAAGACAATTCTCAGATTCAGAAATTATCATATATTATAAATTACATTGAATTATCTACGTAGGGAATTCATTATATAAAACACCCGTGAAAGTACTGTCAGAAAGTATTCATTAAAAACCGAGTTTCTTCGCAGTACAGTGTTACACTATTACATTCTTTTCAGAAAGATTATGATTATGCGGTGGCGTGTGAAAACAATACAAATAACATATCATTCAGTTCGCTTTCAGTTTCAAACATTTCTGATCATTGTGGAAAAAGATAAATATGAGATTAGCAAATGCTGATTCATTATTGTGGAAACAACAACCATGTGATAACACGAATAAGATATTGTTGAATTAATTTGTTTGTTTTCGGAAACAGTCGTTCGTTCAATGTATACCTCTAACAATTTTGGTAGGTAATTCGAAAGAAATTTTTTAATGTAGAATCCCATGTTATGAAATACGGATGATTGTGAATATCCTTATTCACAATCACCGGCGCAAAATACGCAAAATACGGCGCGTAATAGACATACGCGTATATTGAAACAAAAATTATGAAGCAGTTATGCAGTTAGCTACTAAGTACCCTGGTCAAAAATATCCACCAACTATGAACTAAATCCTCCATTTATCCTGTATTCAATAAGACCTTCTTAATTTTATTTGAGAAAAGTGATTTCTAATAAATAATATATAGTTACTTCTAACTTGTTTGAATGTCAGACAGCAAGTTACCCATAATTTGCTATCTGGCAAACCATCAAATAACTCTTCAGCATCATAAAATTGAGCAAAACCTAATGAAGGAAATATCATTTTTTCAAATTCAGTGGACCTACAGTTTAACGCGGTTACGAGCTGTCAATGGGCTTGTCAATGTAAAATGGAATCAATGTACATTACCCCACAATTATAATTGTGATAATTATCACCATTAAACTACTTAAATCATAGGCAAGATTACACTTCAAAGAAAATAGATTTGTATATTTATCTGATAATTTAACAATAGAACTTGACTCAGAGCGATATGGTACGACTTCAAAACCTAATTAAGATTTCGACCTAAAAAATATTTCGATAAGCAAAGACAATCCTGTAATTTTGAAACAACGAACATAAGTTTCAGTTTTTCGTATATCTGTAACTACATAGTGAAAATTTTTGATAACGAAACTCGATAAAAGAGAGTTATCGTTACGTGGAGTAAAGACAAAAAATAATATAATTAACAATAATTTTTGATATGTGTTTGATAAAATAGGTGAACAAATTATTTACACGAATATTCTGTTGGATTTGCGCAGAAGAATATATTGACAATTCTACTAGTAACATACTTATTTTAGCAATTAAAATAAATGGTTCTATCAGCAGTACTTCAAGAGGCATCCTTCCCACTTCTTCAAGAAACCTTGCCAGTTTGGCAGCGAAGATAAGGCTGTTTTTGTGTTGAATAAAGGTACTGATGAAAGAAAGAAATATTACACGAATTATCCTGTAATATTTTTTTTTTATTTTTTTCAGTGTAAAACAAATTCAAGTGTTTACTAATGCAAACTTAGATTGTCATACCAATTAGTTCATGGTGGACAATAAATACTGTATGACACGATAACATCACTACCATAATTTCCATCTGCTTCGACGACATATGGCCAGTAGAAGTTAGAAGAACGGTGCTTGCTCGCAATATTCTCGGTTTCTAATATCATCCGCACCGAATTGAATACCCGTAAATCGATTTTCTTAATGGCCAGGTAATTAAGTGAATCTCGGAGCGAATACGAGCCAGACTTAGTCGGATTGTCTTTATACATTTCAACAAAAATTTCGCCGTGACAAACGCAAACACTTGAAAACTAGAGTCATTATTGCCGGTTTAATCGTTTTGCGTTAACGGTTCGTTAATTACTTTCCGAACACAATTGAATGTTAGCACTTATCAGCTACTAACGATATTCAGCTGCTCTTACATTTCGCATGAATTTCTTTGCGAATTCTTTTGAACTATATATATATATATATATATATATATATATATATATATATATATATATATATATA